TGCTTCAACCCCTCTGGTTTCGAGAAAACAATGGTCGCGAGAAAAACAATAGCCTCAATTTGCATCACAACTTAAAACGGTTATTTCCGTTCAACACCCGGCAAAACCGTGTTCTTTTTAGGGTAAACCCCCAGCCCTAAGTCGTAAATGCCTAAATTAAATTAGAACCCCGACGACTCAGGATTGCTGAGCGCTTGACAATAAGAGCTGGCATGAACAAAGAAGAGGAGGATCGAATGCGAGTGTTTGATGCAGTGTACGGGCTAGCCGCATTGCTGATTCTGATCACAGGTTACCTGAGAGTTACGGAGTATGGAAAAGGTTGGGAGTTCTATCAGCACGAGCCAATTTTTTGGCTGAAGCTTACTCTTGCTGCGGTCAGTGGTGCTGCCTCTTTTTTCGTGACGGCCACAATCATCAAGCGAAGCGCGGCGCAGGCCGAAGTTAAAGACCAAGTCTTCATACCGATGTCAGAAAAGTTGGCAAACCGCATGACCAGCGTGATCAACGCACAGATCTTGGCAATCGGGGCCATCCCTTTGACAGCAACTCTCATGTCTCGAGGAGTTTTGTATGCTGACTGGTTACCATGGCAGGCAGGTGCAGTACCGCCTGTCCTCGCGCTGGTGGGGCTTGGCTTCCGGTATGTGAAGGAAGCTGTCGAGTGGACCGATGATGACAAATAGCTGCTGATAGCATGTTGTAGCCTGTTGCATTCGTAGCAGCATATCGTTTCACACGTTGGTATGTTATTGTGCACCCCAATATATCTTAATAACGTACAGCATATTGCTGCAAACCATTGTGCATGCCGATAGATTATGCGATGTTGCAATGCTCTGAAGTAAATTCGGTTCCAGCATGTTAAAGATTTTTCGCATTCTCGCATATCATCAAGTTCTCGTGCGCGATAGTCCATTGCTTATAGTGTGTTGCAGTATGTTGTAAGACATTTTGTTACAGTACAACACGCCCTTTATTTCACTGTGTGCTACACGTGCGTACATTTATAGTGCATGATAGGATATTACAGTACAGTGTAGTATGTTGGGTATATTGAGGTGTATTACAGCATGTTTTGAGCTGATGTTTCAGCAGACAGTATAGTACATAGTGGTGCTCATAGGTTATAACTGGACATTATACTGCATTCTGGTATTTAAGTTTGCGTTAGCATGTTTTTCGTTCCTGTGTATTCTTGTCCCGTATAGTGTGTGATTATTTGTCAAAATCTCTTGCAGCCCGCTACAGTCTGGCAAAGTCTCTCCTAGACAGTTCAGCCTACTGCCGTACAGTACAGGATGTCGTGATACATTTTGTTGTTGCATGCTGTAGCGTATCATAGACCAGTAATGGCAATGAGTGAGTATGTTTTGACGCGTGATGACGCTTGTCGCGTAGGAGCGCCTGAGACTTCTGCAGCAAAAAGTGGGCGCCTCTAAGATCAGGGAATTAACGTCCTAAGAGCAGGGTTTATCGTACATTCAGAGCTATACCCGGGCACTACCAGGCAAGTACGGGCAATCATACTATTTGACTGCTGAGCCAAAGCGGATCACAGGCGACGTGAAGTCATTGCAATGCTCAAAAGTAGGGTAAGCCCGCTCCTTGTGAAGCGTCACTTCAAATCATGCGGGCCCTAGCGGCTTCGGAAGTAAGTGCCCCTCTCACACTCTGCAATTTGTTGTGGTCTTGATCCCGTTCACCACTGATTCCCGCTGCAGAGTCACCTGCTCTATCGCCCTGCGAAAATGTGCAGAGAGTAGGTCCGTGATGTTTCTGCAGCTACAGGAACTGGAGAAGCAATTGCAAAGGGTTGCCCAGCAGCAGGCTGAGCTGAAGGAGCAGCTGCCAGCTTGCAATGTGTTTGGCG